TTAGAACGAAATTCGGACTATTTAAATATCTAGTAATACTATTTAGACTTATAAATATACTAGCTACCTTCTAATAGATAATTAATAATATCCTACGCGAATACTTAGATATCTTTATAGTAGTATACTTAGATAATATCCTAATCTTCTTAAATACCCTAAAAGAATATAAGGAATACGTCTATAAGGTACTCTACGTACTTTAGAATACGAAGTTACTAGTTAAACTAAAGAAAGGTAAGTTCTATATATAGGAAGTAGACTTCCTTAGATATACGATCTTACTAAAAGAGATATAAATATAATAAGATAAGATTAACTTAGTTAAAGGATAGCTAACGCTAAAGAACGTTAAGGATATATAAAGTTTCCTAGGATTTATAAATTACTACTAACGATTTATTAAAGATTTTAGAAAGATTATAGTATTACTATATAACTTAATAAAGAAGGAAAAAGAATTTATATAGGATAATAAAGTTAACGAAGCTTTTAAATATATTAAGACTACGATTATATAAGAACTAGTCTTAACTACCTTTAACCTAGAATAATAAATTAAACTTAAAACTAATATATTAGACTTTACTTTAAGAGTATAAATCGGATAAAAGGATAATAAAGAAAGACTATAACTAATTATATTCTACTTAAAAAAGCTATATAGCGTAGAGCTTAATTACCCTATCTACGATAAAGAATTCCTTATAATTATTTAAGCTTTCAAGGAATTTCGATACTACCTTCTTAGAAGTAAATATAAAGTTAAGGTCTATATAGATTATAAGAATATCTTATACTTTATAATAATATAATAGTTAAACGGATAATAGATCTAATAGGCTAAATACTTATTAGAATTCGACTACGAAATAATCTATAGAAAAGGAATAGAAAACGGTCGAGCTAATGCCCTTAGTCGACGAAGTAACTATAATATAGGAGCACCTATAGCAAAAGGATAGCTCTTAGAAATTAACGAAAACGGGAACTATTAGCAACGATAGCTAAATATAATATTTAAAGTATAACTTAATAACTCGACTTACTAAAAGATCCTAAAATAGATAAAAGAATATAAAGTATTAAATAGATATAATATAGGATATTTAAAAGTTCTAATATATAAAAATAAAATCTAGATACTACTAGAATTACGAGATAAAGTTATATAAGATATATACGAATATCTAATATATAGATACTAAGGAATCTAAAGAATAATATAACGGATTAAACGATAATATAACTTCCTATAGCTTAAGGAAGTAGTATAATAAGTTATTAAAGAATATAAACTTTATATATAAAGTAGAGCTAAACGATATAAACTATATAGAGAATTATAACCGCTACTAGTACTAAAGAAACTATAAGATTCGATAGCTTTCGACTATATTATAAAGCTATTACTATTAAAAGAACTTATAACTAACGTTAAGTATAATAGTATATTTATTATTACCGATAGATTAACGAAGTATAGATACTTTTTACTATATAAAGAAGTAAGTAATATAAAAGAGATAGTATATATATTCCTATAAATAATTATTAGTAATTATAGATTACTAAATAAGATTATCTTTAATAAAGGAAGTATATTTATAGCTAAGTTTTAGTAAGCTCTTATAGTATAATTAAGGACGAAATATAAGCTTAGTATAGCTTATTACCTATAAATAGATAGATAAACGGAACGACTTAACTAAACGCTTAAATAATATTTACGATGCTATATTAGCTACGAATAAAACGATTAAGTTAAATAGCTACTAATAGCGTAACTAGCTTATAATAGCTTAGTTATAGAAATAACTAAGCTCTTACTAGTATACGCTAATTATAGATATAACCTAGAAGTATTTAAGGTTACTTAATAAGGACTATAAGTAGAACGAGCAATACTATAAGTAGATTAGCTACGAAAATTATATAAAGAAATATAATAAGAACTTTAATTTATTAAAGAACGAATATCTACTTACTATAATTGGAAAAGATTATAAGGACTAATCTTTTAAGAGGGAGATATAGTCTACCTTATACGATAAAATATTAAAATAAAACGACTAAGTAATAAATTAGATTTTAAGAAACTTAGACTATTTAAGGTTAAGAAAACTATTTTAAAAGTTAACTATAAACTTTCGCTACTAATAATAATATAGATATACCCGATATTTTATATCTCGTTATTAAAACTAGTACTACGAGACGCTAAACTATAGGATAAAATCGAAGTTAACGATAATTAGGAATATAAAGCTAAATAAATACTAGATATAAGAAAATAAGGTTAGTAATAAGAATACCTTATTAAGTAGAAGGGATATAGACTAGAAGAAAATACCTAGGAACTATTTAAGTACTTAACCTACTATAGTTCTCTACTTCGATAGTTCTACTAGTAAAATCCCCCCTAAGTATTATAAAATCGCCTAACGAACTAATAGCATTCTAATTAATTATATTAAATCTACTTATAGACTAAATATCGACTACCGCTTTAGATTCTTAGCGCTTAGCCTCGTTAAGGTTATTTAAAGAACGAAGGCCCTAACGGACTATCTTAGTACCCTTTATCTTTAGCTAGCGCTTTTAATAGCGAAGCCGCGCTAAATAAGCTAAGGCTTCGTTTAGGTCGGCTTAAGCTTTTAATATTCGCTCCTTAGCAATTTCTTCTTCTTTATCTAATCGATCGGACTCTAGATTTATTCGGGATACTAGAAAACATATTAGCTTTAAATAATAAGTAGGATAACGAAGTTACCTACGAGAGCTAATCGCTACGCTTAACGTATCGTAGGAACGACCCTGCTATATATATTCGGCATACTTAGAAGATTTCTCTAGCATTTTATAGCGGAAGCCGCGCGACGAATAAAAAGAATATAGTATAACGTTAAAACTAAGATAATTAATAGACTTAGCTAAACGAATACGCTTAAGGGTCTTATAAGAACGATCCTTTAGCACGCGACTAAATATACTATTAGTAGTATATCCTAAGGGATAGAAAGGACGAAACCGGGAATATATATACGCGCGATAAGGGTATATTTATATATAGCGGCTAAGGTAGTAGTAGGTCTTATAGATAAGACTAAAAGAAGGGGAGATATCGTATTATAACTATAGTTAGCGGGCTATAGGAGAGCCGGCCACGTTTATATAATAAGGCGGCTCGGAATAATAGTTAGGACGAAAAGTTACTTAGGCTTAGCTTACCTAGAGTATACGTAAGCTAAGTAAGCCTTATATAAATAGATTACTACTTAAGAGTATAGCTTACGAGTAAGCTATAGTAAGCTATAAAGGGGATTACGGATCTAAGGATAGTCTCTATAGGTATATATAGCTACCTACTTTTACTCCTTTAAATAGATAGCTCTCTAGCTTTTAATATAGATCTTTATTACGATTCTATCTCTAATTCTAATTACCTAGTTATAGTCTACGGTCTACGACCCCCGACTTATTACTAACGTAATATACTTATTATTACTTAGACCACGCCCTATTATATCTATTAATATAAACCCCTCGATAGGTTTATCCCTTAGGAATAACACCGGTCGTTATAGCTAGCAAGGCCCTCTTCTTCGTAAAGAGCTTAAAGGGGGATTTCTAGTCTATTCCTTAGGTCCTTAGGGTCCGGTTCTAAAGGTAATAGGCGGTCTTAACGACTTCCCTTTAAAGGTCGTAGGGAAGCTTTATAGTAAGTCTTATCGTACGGGCCCTTTTTATTATAGCACCCCTTAATCTTTCTACCCCTCCGTTCTAGGCCTAGGTATTTAGTGCTAATAAGAGGGGTAAAATGCCCCCTTTTTAAAGCTACTTTAAGATATCTTTCGTAAATAGCTCTCTATTAAACTATATCTTTTTTACCTTATAGCTAAAGTAGGATTTTATCTAGTTAACGAAGTCTTAGAGGGTAGACTAGTTATACTTACTTAGGTAAGTCTATAAGAAATAAGGGAAAACTATCCTTAAAAAAGCGTCTATAAAAAACATTACCTTAATAAAGCTTTCTTAGTCCCTAGAGATATTAGTCTAGTCGACCTAAATTTCCTTATATTATCGCGAAGACTATTGCGCCACGCAGGCAAAAGTAGAACGCGCGCTCCGACAGGTGCGCTGCAATTGACATATATGACTAACAACCGCGTTTTTCCGACACACCCCCTTAGGGATCGCGGCTCCGCCGGGATTCCTAGACCTAAGCCTACGACGCGGGAGTCGAACACTAAGCACCGCGCCCATTACCCAGGGAAATCCAAGAGAGAGAGGGGTACACGGCTATCTACGGGTATTACCCCGCAACGCGCAGTCACCGGAAGTTGCAGGGGGTAGTTTGCCACCCCCTCCCGGGCTCATAACTGTCGCGAAGACCATTGCGCCACGCAGGCAAAAGTGGAACGCGCGCTCCGACAGGTGCGCTGCAATTAATACATATAACTAACAACCGCGTTTTTCCGACATAACGTAATCTACCCCCTTCCTGGCCACACCCCCTACCTGCTCAAAATTTCCCCACCCAAGCGACCCGTACCTCATGGCGCGACCAACCGAACACAACAGACGGCAATTGATTCCAAGAGACAAACAAGCAAGTAAATTCAGACCTGTCTATCTATTACACGTCCGGGCATTATGTTCAAATGACCTGCATTTACTACACCGTGGTGGTGCACGCCGTCTTGGGACGCACAGCTCTTCTTCTGTCTGCCGTCGGGCCTGCTCCTCGATAAGTTGTTGCCCTGCCTGCTCATCCTCCCTTGCCCTCAGTCGCCTAGCACGTTCCTCTTCCTTTTCTCGCCGTCGCTTTATCTTAGCCGTGCCTTCTGCGACAGACAGAGCACCGCCATCACCAATATACTCGCGTCGTTGCTCTCTCTTCCTCTTTCGCCGCTGGTTTTCTGACCGAAGATGTCTGTTTTCGTCGGCGAGCAGCGCGGCACTATGCATGGCCATTTGACATCCTTTGATGAGCTGGTTTATGGCTTGTGAGACCGGCGTGCCCGCATTTTGTGGCCGGCGCTGAAGAAGTCCTTCCACGTGAGTGGTAAGCTGGCTAACATTGCAAGGGGTCTTGTGGGCTTCAAGCTTTCTGGGGCTTGGGTGTGCTTGTCGCCGTCATCGTTGGCATTGTCGTTGCCATTCCTGTCAACCTGAACTAGTAACCGTGACAGAACCCGGGTCGGATTGAATGGGGAAAGGCCTGTGGCCATGAATCCACTTCGGATGTTCGACGGGGAGAGCGCTTGTCGGCGGGCCTCGATGTACAGAAGCAGGAAGTCCTCTTTATCGATGTGGTTGACCCCTGCGAGCATCTTCTCTTGAACATTCCGCCCATATATCGTTTTCAAAGGCGAAAAGCACCCGACATCCAGAGGCTGTAAGAGATGTGAGGAATGAGCTGGCATTTGGAGTACCACGATGGCATTGTCCGTACAGTACTTGTCGAACTCCGGCGTAACATGGCTGCCGTGCCCGTCGAGAATGAGAAGTCTGCGTGTTCCAACGGTACGGCGCCGTGTGTATGGGTCGAAAACTCCCTTCAACCAATGCAATCCAAGGTCGTCGGAAGTCCAACCTTTGTCGCTCACGGCAATCTGCCAGTCCTTGGGCACATCTGCCTCGTACCAGCTTGCTTGGTGCACCTTGCCCTGGAAGATGACCATCGCCGGCAAAGCCCAACCTTGGCAATTAATAGATTCAATTACGGTAACCCATTCTCGATTTCCTGGCTGCATGACCATAGGCCGACCTCGCCGGTCAGACCGAGTAAGGACTCTTGCCGACGCAATGACTCCCATTTGAAAACCCGTCTCATCGAAGTTGTAGACATCCTCATCAAGAATCCCCCATTTCTGTTTCGCCATTGCCACCCGATCGTACCATTCTTGCATCATCTTCGGGTCTTCGCATTTGGCACGTTGGTAATCGTATCGACGAGAGTATTTCGCCTTGATTTCGTCGTGGCGGCCAACGAACTTCCGCACCCAATTTTCGCCGACAGTTTCTTGGCAGCGCTCCGAAAGCAACAAGTTGGCCATGCGGCGAGTGTAGACCACTGTCGGCGGCATCCCTCGCTCGTCCATCGACAAGACCCATTGTACGAGGGCAGTCTCTTCCGTCGCCGTCAACTTCCGGTTGTTCATCTGCGCGTCGCGTCGGGGCCGGGCACCGCGCAGTCGAGCAGAGACTGTCGATTGAGGGACATCGTATGCCGTCGCGGCCTTGTGGGCGCTGTCGAATTGGCCTTGCTGATAGGCCTTCACGGCGAGCAGGACCCGTTCTTCGCGTGGAATCGATTGGTCTCGAATTTCCGTCATGGTGGTCGGCCTGTCTCGCCATGAGGTGCGGGTCGCTTGGGTGGGGAATTTTTGAGCAGGTAGGGGGTGTGACCAGGAAGGGGGTAGATTACGTTATATAGCTAGTCCGGCTATATTAGGGTCCGTCTAAAAATTCGTTTCTTAGTCTTCCCTTAGCTATAGTATTTATATTTAACGGTCTTTAGGCCCCTTATTTATACGCCTTATTATAAACCTAGCTTATATAAAGCTAGGGGGCCTAGGTAACTAAGTCGTATATACTAAAAATAACCGTCTCCTTAGGCTACTATAAGAGGGTCCTTAGAACCTACCCTCTTAGTAAGGAAAGCTAACTTTTTAAGAGATTCCTTCTTAAGGATAAGTTAGAATTCGAGAATAAATTAACCGAATTTTTCCTCGATAAGCCTAATAGTCTAATTCTTCTAGACTAGCCTCGTAGGCTTCGATATTATATCCTAAAAGATTCCTTCCTCTTAAAGATATTATAACTATAGCTAGCGGGCTATAAGAGAGCTAGCTATATTTATATAATAAGGTAGCTCGGAATAATAGTTAAGACGAGAAGTTACTTAAGCTTAGCTTACCTAGAGCGTATATAAGCTAAGTAAGCTTTATATAGATAGATTACTACTTAGGAGCATAGCTTATAAGTAAGCTATAGTAAGCTATAAAAGGGATTATAGCTAGAACTATAATCTAAGGATAGTCTTTATAAGTATATATAGCTACCTACTTTTACTCCTTTAGATAGATAGCTCTCTAGCTTTTAATATAGATCTTTATTATAATTCTATCTTTAATTTTAATTACCTAGTTATAGTCTATAGTTTACGACCTCTAACTTATTACTAACGTAATATATATAACGACCGGTGTTATTCCTAAGGGATAAACCTATCGAGGGGTTTATATTAGTAGATATAATAAGGCGTGGTCTAAGCAATAATAAGTATATTACGTTAGTAATAAGTCGGAGGTTATAGACCGTAGACTATAACTAGGTAATTAGAATTAGAGATAGAATCGTAATAAAGATCTATATTAAAAGCTAAAGAGCTATCTATCTAAAGGAGTAAAAGTAGGTAGCTATATATACCTATAGCCCCCTTACTATAACGATATTGCCTATCGTATTTAGCCCGTTTAGTCTACTTAGTACTAATCTAGCTAATCTAACTAATTAGACTAATCGGTGCTCGGTTTACTTAGTATCGATCGTCCGATCTAACTAATCTAACTAATCCGTTACGTGACCTTTGTGTTAACGGTTCTTCCGTGGTCTATAGCGCCTAGCACCCTATGCTTCGACTATACGGCCTATATTCTAACCGTCTTCCCCTTACGGTTAGCTAGTTCGTAATATTCTATAGGCGTAGGACTAAGCGTATAAGCTTTATACTTAGTATAAGAAGTCCTTGCCTTTATCTTTATAAGAACTATACGACGGTTAGAGCGGGAGGAAGGCCGGGTAGCGGCTAATATAGCGGTCTATGTAGTTAGCCTAGTAGATATCGATAAGGCCCTCTAAGTAAAGAAGCTAAAGTCGCCCTCTAAGCTATAGTAATAGATACTAGAGCGCTTTTACGACCTCCTACCGCTATTTAAGTCCTAGGAAGCGGATAAGCTTAACCTATATAAGCTAGGGGTAGACTATAAGATCGTACTCTATACTAATAAGAAGGGGTAGGAACTACCTATACTATTCGGACCGCTATATAGTATATTATACGCGGAGCTACTAGTACTAAAGAAGACGCTAAGGGACCTCTTAGATAAGGGTTTTATTTAAGTAAGTAGCTTTAAAGTAAGAGCGCTAGTCCTATTTATATATAAACTAAGAGGCGGGATATAGTTCTATTATAACTATAGGGCTCTAAATATAATTATAAGGCTAGACCGCTACCCCTTACCCTTAATCTTAGATACGCTCTATAACCTTTTAAAGGTAAAGTAGTTTACGAAGCTAGATATAAAATAAGCGTTCTATAAGGTATAGATCTTAAAGGGTAATAAGTAGAAGATAGCGTTCTATATACGCTATAGCTTATTTAAGTAGCTTATAACGCCCTTTAGCCTCTTAAGAGCGCCCGCTACCTTTTAGTATTATATTAATAACGTACTTTAGGACTTCCTTAATAAGTTCGCCTCTATATATATAGATAATATCCTTATTTATATAAGCGGCTTTTATAAGGACTATATATAGAAAGTATAGAGGGTCTTAGAGCGCCTCTAACTTTATAGGCTCTACCTCGACCTAGATAAGTATAAATTTAGGGTTAAGAGGGTTAAGTACCTAGGCTTTATTATCTACGCTAGCGTAAGTATATAGGTAGATCCTATAAAGATCTAAGCGATTTAAGACTAAGCTACCCTAACTATATAGATAGGTATATAGAGCTTCTTTAAGTTCGCGAACTATTATAGGATATTTATTAAGGGCTTCTTCTATATTATAATACCCTTAAACGAGATTACTAAGAACTAGACCGCTTTTTACTAGGGGCCTATATAAGAAGGAGCGTTCTATATACTTAAGGACCTATTCTCTTAAGCCTTAATACTACTTTAGTAGGACTTTAACCGGTCTACGTTAGTTAAAGCAAACTATAGTAGCTAGGTACTTAAAGGAACGCTCTTTTAAGAGGTAGACGGGCGGAAGCAACTAATAGCGTTCTACTCTTATAAGCTAACCTTAGTAGAGCGGAATTACGCTATTTATAATAAGGAGATACTAGCGATTATTAGCTACCTTAAGTAATAGTAAGTAGAGCTCTAGAGCTATAAGAGCTTTAAGGCTCTTATAAACTATAAGAACCTTAAGTACTTTATAACTCGCTAGCACCTCTTAGAGCGGTAAGCCCGCTAGGTAGAGTATCTCTTACGCTTTAACTTCTTAATTAAGTACTAGCTAGGGCGGGACTCTATAGTCCTAGATACGCTTTCTTAAAGGGATTAAGACCGGCCCGCCGATAGGAGCGGATATTAAGGCCTAGGATTTATAGCTTATCCTATAAGAAGCGCTACGGACTTATATAGGGGCTTCCTTAGTAAAGGAAGGCGCGGCGCTAATAGATAAGCCTTCCCTTATACCTTTACCTCGGCTTAGCGAGGAGGGATAAACTAGCCTAGGGGCGCGTATAGCATAGGTATTTTAAGATAAGGTCCTTTAGCGCTTATAGGATAGGATATCGTCTCTAGACTATACCTATAAGAGCGTACGCTACGCCGTTAACTTCGGCGCTTAATACCTTAATCTAAAGCTAAAGCTAAAGGTATAAGTAGCTGACTATTATATCGACCTATAGGGGCACCTATATTAGCGGGGGAGACTATAGGTGCCGGTCGCGCTATATACTATAGAAGCTAAGGAGAAGGATAGACCGCTAGAGCTAGATAAACGGAACGAGCTCTAAGGGAAGCTAGTTTAGCTCGTCTATAACTCTAGTATTATAGGCTACCTAGGTAGGCAAGGTATAGTAGTAGGCCTCGCGAGGGATTTCTACTAGCCCCTCCTATAGTACTACGTTCGCTGCTTCTTTTATAACTACGATATTTATAGCTATACTAAGATTTAAAGGGCGTAGCTTAAGGGGCTACTTAAGTAGCTTCCGGTACCTAACTAGTTCTATATATATATATAGATAGACTTTATAATAAACCTCCTACTTATAGAGGGCGGTAACCGCTATATATAGGTAATTAAGGACCGACTTAGTAAGTCTATAGTATTAAAGCTAATACTATCTATAAATATAAAGTCCTATATAGAGCGCTTCTTATAGTACTAGGCCCGCTTATATAGCTAGCTAGCCTCTATTATAAGTAATAAGGGATTAAATTAAACTAGCCGCTTTTAATAGTACTTATACTAGCTACTTTAGATTATATAGCTACTTAGTATAGTATATTACCTATAGACTAACGGAGGGCCTAAGAGGGTTAACTAAGAGGTATAGGCTTACTTATAGGCCGTCGTAGCCTATAACTAAGTAAACTAAGACCGTTAGCTCCCCGCGGCCTAACTTACGTTAAATAGTAGACTATATACTTCTATTAAAATAGCCCCTTTTTTTATAACGTATAGCTTTAAACTACCCTTATTAGTTCCCTTTACTATAGATATAGTAGCGGAGTAGTATAGTAATTTATTACTAAAGGGCCGCGCTTCTATATTTATATAAAAGCTATAAGAGACTATAGATTATTACTAATCTAAGATAGCCGCTATAGCGTAAGATTAAGAGCAGCACGCTAATAAAACTAAGGCCTTAGTAGATAGGTTTATAGTAAGAGATACGGTATAGCTAGACCTCTATAATTATAGGTTAGTATAGCTAAAGAAGAAGCTTAACTAGCTATATATAAAGTTTATAGTATAGAGGGTTATTAGCCTATAGGTTATAGAGCTTAATAGTCTCTTAATAGGGGTCTATAATAAGATTAATATAGACCTCCTTTATAGAGCCTCCTTTAACCCGCTACCTAGATAAGAAGTAGCGGACGCTTAACTACCTATAATTAAAATAGAGAGAGAGGATAAGTTCGAGGTTAAAGAGATATAGGCCGCGCGCTAGAAAAAGGTTAGTAGGGGGAAACGCTAGGAGGTCCTCGTTAAGTAGCATAAGTATCTCGACCCTATATAGGAACCTATATATAAGTTTATAGGAACTATAGCCCTTAATAAGTTTAAAGCTTTATTTAAAATAGTAGACAAGAATAATAGACTAGTAGACTACTAATAATAGCCTAGGCTAGGACTATAAAGTAGGTATAGTAAAGGGGGTAGTTATAGTAATATAGGCAATATAAGCGTAATAGTATAAGTAGAGATAAAAATAGTATTTATTATAAAGCAAAGCCCTTAAACTACCTAGGCCTATTCTTTATTATTATTATTATTATTATTCTTATTATTATTATCCTTATTAGCCTCCTCCTTTTTATTAGTAGCGGCGGCGGTCTCTAAGGCGCTAAGGTAGCCCTCTAAGCCTATAAGC